AGACAGCATGTGGACAGTTGGTCCCGTGGGACTTTGTTAACCTGAAAGGAGGGAGACCATATAGGTCAAAGAGGAAGCACCCAAGTCTCAAAATAAATAAAATAAATATATGGAGATAAACTTATCTCATAGAACTGGAAGAGATCCCAAAAAGTCATCCTGAAAAGTCCTCTGTCTTCACTAGCAGGACCAAGTACTGATTTTGCCCCAGATCTCCTAAGTGGCCCCCTCAAGGATTGAACGCACAACCCCAGGTTTAGCAGGCCAATGCTCAAACCACTGAGCTATCACTCCCCCTCAAAGAGAGAGGGGCCACGGCATGAGCAACTGATGAAAGAGGCACCAGATGGTATGAAAGCTAATTCCCAGACACAAGGATGCACACTTGTGGAGAGCCGACCCCTTCACAATCCCATGTGGAAAGCAGCAGGGGGAGAATTTATGCTCACAACATTCCCATAAGGTGAATGGAGCTTATCTCCTCCTGCAGAAAATGATCCAGGGCTCATCCTCAAACAGAGCAGGCCCCTAGGAATCTGCAAGGATTGGGGCCCATGCATCAGCTTTGGTCCTTGGTGGCATATCCTGGTGTTCCTTATGCAGAAAAGATAATGCGGCCCCAAGTAAGGTCTACAAGGGCGGACTGGAGGTAGGGGTGGAAAGAAGATGTATTCCTTTGGTCCTGCCCTGACTCACTCAGTCTCCTCCCTCTCCCGGTCCCCTAGCACAGAGCTCATATGCACGGAGGGGGCTCTGCCAGGTCTGGGCAGGGAGGGATGAGGGTGCTGCTGGTGAGTTGGCATTCCCTTTCTATGCAGGTCAAGATGGAAACTGTGAACCACCTGGAAGTGCTCTGCAGACTGGTGTTAAAGAAGTTTTGAGGGATAGCCTTAACATATCACTGGCATGAATCCGTCAACTCACATTATTATTGCCACTCTTTGTAGGAGTCCTTATCTGATCACCTTAGAGAAACAGGAAGCTATGAGTAATATTGAATTTCCCTTATTACCCTAACACGCTGCTAAACTGACAGTCACAAATTGAAGACTAGAGGCTGTAAGAATTAGAAAGTGTAGTACAATCTTATAGATGCAAACTGTGGCAATGTGTTTAGACTGTTATGACATCTCCAATTAGCCACATAGAAATCCTCACCTAGATATAAAATGTGCAGTATAATCCATGTGGAAGAACTGGTAGTTACCAGGGATGTCATGCACATTAATGATACCAAGTTATCGTCCCATACATGTACAACCAACTTGTGTGACCTTTCAGTTTGGAGGTAAAGTCTTGGGAGGTTTGCATCACTGAAGCTGAACAAAGCTCCATAACTAACTCAGTGCTCTATGTACAATAAATAGGCAGTATGCCCTTTCCCAGGACTCTGCAAATGGTGCTTTGCTGGGCTGAGAACCATGTCAGAGTCAGCAGACAGGTGTCAGGAGGCAAGCAGCCTCACAGTGGGCCTGGATGGGGACAAGGTGTTCATTTATTATCTTCCTACCAGGCATCACCTGAAGGTGCTGGAAGATGGATAACCACTCTCTCCTCAAAGATAAGTAGCAGGAAGGAATTTACAGGACACCAGGCAGAGATTCCCACATCCTCCAAAGACTTAAAAAGTAAGGAGTCTGGGGTCCTAGTTGAGGGGGAGGGTTGGCAGTGGTTTACACAAACCAGATACTTCATGTGGACTTGGACCATGGTGATCCACATGTTTCAGTTGGTAAAGCTCAGATGAGCTTTTTTTTTATTTTTTATAAATGGAGATATCCTATCTCCTAGAACTGGAAGGGACCTTTAAAGGTCATTGAGTCCAGCCCCCCTCTGCCTTCACTAGCAGGACCAAGTACTGCTTTTGCCCCAGATCCCTAAGTGGCCCCCTCAAGAATTGAACTCACAACCCTGGGTTTAGCAGGCCAATGCTCAAACCACTGAGCTATCCCTCCCCCCCAAAAAGCTGAAAGCTGCACGTTGCCCTCAGCTCTAGTGGTAGCTCCAGTCTCTCTTCACCAAAAGCAGGAAGTTCTATATAGATTTCGCCTTTAAAAAAAAAGCGAACACCCTCCCTTTTCTCCCAGTAATAAAGCCAGAGCACCAAGCCACTGCGTCTCCAGCTGTAAGTATAGCATTACGTCTCTGCATCCTATCCCGCCATCTCTTAAGATCTCTCCCAAGTCAAAGATGTCAAATAGGGAAATGAAACCAAGTCACCTGCAGTATTTTTCTGATTATCTACTGGATACAGAAAGCTCAACACTCATTTAAAGTAAGAGATCAGAAAAACTTCGAAATGGGACCCAAGTAGCAAAATGCCAGTAAATCCTGTAATCCATTATGCACTGACATTTTAGGCCAAGAGATTAAAATAAGACTATGAATGCAACATATTTCCATCTAAGTCATTCACACACACATATACACACACATGCTATATAAGAATTTTGGGTAGATTTTCAAATGGGAGCTGAGTTTTTTTTAGGCACCTAAATGAAGTGGCTAGACTTTCAAAAGTGTTCAGAGTGAGCACATAGCAACTCTGATTGAGAACAGCTCAAAGAAAATCTTGCTTTTAGTGCACATGAAATGTGCCAGGTTGACATCTCTGGAGACTGAGGCTCCCTGAATAGAAACAGCCTGGACAACAGCAAAATAAACCCCCCCCCCCCACGATGCAGCTCAACCCTGACCTAGAGGGCTCATCGTCATGGTAGGAAGTGCAGTCTCCATGTCAACACATTTCTTGGCTGAGACTGTGCACACGGCTGACAGTTAGTGTGGCGGTGAGTTTTGTGACAGATGTCTATTAAATGGGAACTGGATGGAGACAACTAAACTCATCTCTCATAGACCTCCAAACAGCCATCAGGTGTTAAGTTTTAGTCATGGCTGACACAGGTTAGATCTGAACTGGTGAAAACACTCCATCTCCATGACCATTGTTGAGTCATAATATTGTTCCTCAAACACAACTGTTTCGCCCACTGACTAGGATGGAACCAGTCACTTACTTCTGTGTTTAGGAGTAGGGGCTGGATGTACGTCTGCAGTTACAGATTTTACAGGCTTAGGTGGCTCTTTAGGCCTCCAATCTTCTTCCCATTCCTTTTTAAATTTCTCTTCTTCTGCTGTTATCCTAAATACATATAGAAGAAAAGTATTTCTTGAAATTCTCATTTAAAAATATAACTTTGTAAACTACAAATTATTTATTTTTCTTAATTTGAAATACAAACCATTTCCTTCCAACTCCGCTAAAAACCCAAACTTTAAACATATAGCAATGGCTGCTATTTCACTTCTGGTCCAACTAATATATTCAACTGAACAGAAAACACACTGAAATAATAAGCAAACACTTCTTGTTTGTTTTCTAATGATAATATATACTTTTTTGTGTTTCAATACTAATGAGATACGGAGGTAACTCATGAAAAATACAAGTCACTGCCTTTATACAAGCATGACAGACCCACGTATAAACTGGTCGAATTGCACACTGGGGTAAGGCTTGGAGAAGCCAATTCTGAGCACCTTATAGAATCAATGATTTTTAAGACCAGAAGGGATTATGATGATCATCTAGTCTGCTTTCCTGAAAAAACCAGAACAGGGAACCTACCTCACTGAATAATTTCTACATCGAGGCCGTAACTTCAGTCTGAGCTATAGCATATCTTTTGGAAAGACAACCTGTTGTGACTTAAAGACTTCAAGTGACAGAGATTCCATTACATCCCTAAGTAAGTTATTGCAATATTTACCCGTCCCCACTGTTAAAAATGTGTGTCTTATTTCTACATGATTTATTTCCATTTAAATTATTGCTTTTTGGCATAGCTAGAGCACACAAAAAAAGTAGCTGAACCCTGACAGGAGTTGGCTCAAGAAATAACTATAGCTGAGACAACTAAACAGTGACACCACTGTATAATTAAATTCATCGTGTCTGGAGAAGTACTTCTAACAAAAACGAACACTGTGACACTCTAGAAAGGGAGAGTTCAGAAAAATAAAGAAACTAGTTTAAAAGAATCCATGTATGACACCCTGGCATCACAATATTCACCACTGTCATGTAATTAGGATATATTTTGTACAAAGAATGCCTTGTGAGGTATCATTCTAAAAGTCTTGCTCTGCTAGACATTAATATCTCGTTGGATTGTGTGTGTGATCGTTGTATGCAATGTTATGAAGTTTGGCTACATATGTGTTACTGAAACATGTTGTGAGGCTGAAAACACCCACAAGCAGCCTTTCAGGTACAACAGTAAAAAGGCCAAACAATGTTAATGGCTTATTGGGGAAATGCACACAAGCACAAGGATTACCCCAGGAACTGTGTACAACAGAAACCTCTCAGAGATAGCACTACACAATGGGAACTGTTTGACCCAGGTCACAGCAAAAGAGCTTTCCAACAAGTGGGAAGAAGATATAAAAGGGAGAAATTACATCATGATGGGACCTCACTCTCCGTACAACAACACACCTGAGGAATAAAGACTGAACAGGAGGGAATGGATGGTCCCAGGCTAAAGGAATTTCTAGCCTGTGTATGAAAACCTGGGCAACCCAAGCTACAGAGCCAAGGCAGCTTTTGCCTTAAGACTCTGCCAGCCTGTTTTTCACTCAAGGTGAGAATCTGCTAATTCATATCCTACCTATCTACTATGTTAAGCTCAGTTTGCGGTTTTGTTTATTTGCTAGATTATCTGCTTTGATCTGTTTGCTATCACTTATAATCTATCCTTTTGTAGTTAATAAACTTATTTTATGTTTTAATCCATACAACAACAAAAGTCCAAGGTGGTGTACACATAACCATCCCCCCACTCTTCCTACAAAAAACCTAAACAATAAAAGGAAACAGGAACACAATATGGTTAAATGTCAAGGTTTGAGGGGTTATTCATGGCAAGCCGATATTCTTCCGAAAATGGAAATCCAGCTCAGTACAAAAGTGCGTGAGCTATGGCAGTAAAATGGCGATTGGAGAGCTAAATGGGGATTTACATCAGGTGTGTGTGGGAGGCAGCCTACTGACCTGAAATAGGGTCAGAACCAATCTAGCCATGTATTCGGTGCCTAGAGGCAAAAACATCTAGATTGATGATGGAGACTTTAACACAGTATAGCCCCTACTATTGCTGATATTAGCATTACGTGACAAATAAACAATGTTTGACTGAAACTGCAGAGTCTGTACAATATATCTGACATATCCTTCCTCAGGAGTCACATCCTCCATGGCAATTACAAGAAATGAATCATAAGGATTCCACTTTCCTTTTATTTCTGAAAACAATTTTTGCTCCACCATGCAGTTCAGAGCTTTAGCTGAGTAATCCTCTAATCCTCTTGTTTTAACTCCTTCCATCTCCCACTTTCTACTGTTTTATCAGCTCTGTCGTTTTAGGTCACATCTGCAATCAGATTGTAAAACTACTGAGATGGAGATTATGTTTTACCTGTACGGCAACATGCCAAGCACACTCTTGGGCATTGTGCTAATAAATAAAAATAGATAGTAAAATAAAAATGTGTGAACAAGGAATAACTGTATATAACGTTTCCTCCCATTTCTCATAACTTGTTAAAGATTGCTGCAATCACAAGTGACACACAATCCAAGAATATAATGCAGCATTTCTACTGTTGCTGAATTTTGTAGCATAGAGCACACCTCTCAGTGATGTAAAATATATATTTTCAACTGTGGCATGTCACAGTGTAATTCACTGGTTTATAGTAGCAAAGTTCTCCAGTGTCACAGATCCACAGGATAACCCTAATTTATGGACTTTGCATTTGAATCTCATGTAGCCACTGCTGTTGCTGCTATTTGCATTACATGACAAATAAACAATGTTTGGAATTAGTTAAAAGACTAAAAAAAAAAAGATTTAAAAAAGCTCCAAAGGCAGAGGACTCTACTGAATATACATCGGAGGAGGTTAGTCTAGTAATTAAATTATTTGGTAGCAACAGAGTCAAGACCAATAACTTAGAGGTTGCCCTGCATGTTCTGGCTAATGTAATTGCTAGTAGAGTAGACTTTAATATTAAAACAATATGCCAAGAGGGCCAGAAGGGTGATTCATAAAATACTACTACTAACATATGAAACAGAGCCAACAGTTTCCTTGGAAGGTCCATCTTCCTAGTTCCTGTAAATAAATTGCAACCTACAGGGCATAACTCATTCTGTACAGTTACGGATTTTTGTTAAATAGAATTTGCTATGCCAGGAAAGGCTGCAAGCTACAGAGAGAGATGCTAAGGCAAAGACTTGTATTTACGTTCAGAACACAAGGATTGATAAGAGATTTTCAAAGTACCACCCCACTGAAGTGAGAGTATTGGTGGCACTGCTTGCTGAAGCCTTTGAAACTCTTCATTGAAACCAACCACGTGGCCTGAAATAGTTATTGTGGGTAACATGTTCTAAAACACCCAGGTGACTTGGGAGCATAAGTTCAGAGCCTGAGCTCCAGTGTGAGTTGAAACTTCAGAGCGCTGTCTATACAGCTATTTTCTGCAAGCCCGGATAGCCCCAGTCTGTTGATCTGGGCTGGGAGGCTCTCTCCAAAATGCTGCATCGACATACCATAAGTCACCTAGGTGCTTTTGAAAATGTTACCGGTCATGTGCATGAACACTAATGATAGCAGAGCTTGTAAGCTGCAAACTCCACTTGCTGATGTTGCATTTGTGAAGTGCTGAAATAAAGCTACTGAGGTTACTTAAAGAACTTCAGGTATGGTGATACATCAGCTTCACAATAATTTAGGCAGCAGAACCTGATAACTGCAGCAATTTTAAGGAAAGAATTTCAGGGAAAAGGCTCTTCAGTCTTTCAAAGGGGAGTGAAAGGCTACTCAAGCTATTATCACAGGAAAGGAGCATGTTCTAATGGATTGCGCCTGAAGCTGGTAGTCAGGAAGTCCTGTGTAGTAAAACCTACTCTACCTCTGACTTGCTACACAGTCTGAGACAAGTCATTTATCTTCTCATATTTAAAATAGGGATTACAATACTCTCCTACCTTGGAAGGGTGTTGAGGCTTAATTAGTTAACTTTTGTATTGTACAGCACTTTGAAACTATAAAAGCTCTTTATAGAAATGCTTGACACTATTAGCAGACTTCAAGACAGACTGTTAATAGGAAGAGAGGTTTCAGAGTAGCAGCCGTGTTAGTCTGTATCCGCAAAAAGAACAGGAGTACTTGTGGCACCTTAGAGACTAACAAATTTATTAGAGCATAAGCTTTCGTGGACTACAGCCCACTTCAAGAAGCATAAGCTTCAAGAAGTGGGCTGTAGTCCACGAAAGCTTATGCTCTAATAAATTTGTTAGTCTCTAAGGTGCCACAAGTACTCCTGTTCTTTTAATAGGAAGAGAGATGTGTGGGAACAAAGGTGCAATGGTTTTGAAGTTCAAATGAAGTCTGCAGATACCAAAGGCATTCATCACGATTGTGAGGCAGAAAAGCTGGCTTTGGAAAAGGAATTCTTTGTTTGCTTGTGTAGCATCCTTCATTGTTATTGCAGCAATTTGTTCAATATAGTATGAGAATGGGAAAACATTGTAGACGGAAGTCATCCCTGTGCTGACACAGACTCCAGTGCAGGGATGGCTGGTATATGTATGTGCATTTTTGTACCCCAATGCTGGGGTTGCCAGAAACTGCTCTGGTCCCTGATGGCCGTCGTGGCAGCTGGGGAAATATACTCCGTTCGGCATCCAACATGCCATCACTGATTCAGAGAGCCCTGTGCATGCCCTGTCTGTTGTGCAGGATTTCAGCTTCTAATATAGATAGATCAAAAGCAGTCAAATGAAATGACACAGGTGGAAACCTGTTTAATGTGACAGGAGAGGCATGTCTGAATATTTCAGAGTCAATTACAGTTACAGAAAGCTGCATCAGAACAATTATAGAATATGAAATCTCCAACACTAATTTTCCAATTTCATACTATCATATAATTTGTCAAAATTGTTCAGAAGAGAAAGTGATAACGTACATTAAAACAGTGAACCACATAGTGATTGGTTGGTTTTTCCCCCTCTAGTTCTAAATGTACAGCAATATTTAAATTACATTGATAGTTGTGTCCAACTTGCTTTTTTGGTACTGTTGATGGATGGGCTGCCAGAAAGCCTTCATAGATTTTAAGGCCAGAAGGGACCATTATGATCATCTAGTCTAACCTCTTGCATAATGCAAACCACAGGACTTCCTTGAATTAATTCCTGGTTTAAGTCCAATAGCTGTGGTTATAAGTAGATCAACTCTTTTAGAAAAGCCTCCGCTCTTGATTTACAAATTTCCAGTGATGAAGGATCCATCCATAGTCCTTGGTATGTTGCTCCAATGATTAATTACCTTCACTGTTATACATTTGCATCTTATTTCTAGTCTGAATGTGCCTAGATTCAAATTCCAGTCACTTAATCTAGTTATATTTTTGTCTGCTAGAACAATGAGCTCTCTACCATCAAATTTTTGTTTGCTATGTAGTTACTTTAGACTGATCAGAATCACCCCTTACCCTTTTGATAATCTAAATAGGTTGAGCTCGAGTGTGTCTCATTATAAGGCATATTTTCTCTTCCTTTAATCATTCTCATGGCTCTTCTCTGAATCCTCTCCAATTTTTCAGTATCCTTCTTGAAGTGCAGAAACCAGAACTAGACACAGTATAACACTAACAGTTGTACCAGTGCCAAATACATAGGTAATTTCCCTACTTCTACTGAAAGCCCCCCGTGTTTACATCCAAAGATTGCATTAGCCCTTTTAGCCACAGCGTTGTGCTGCAAGCTCATATTCATCTCATTATCCCCAGGGCCCCCAATTCTTTTTCAGTCACTGCTTTCCAGAATAGAGTTTCCCATGCTGTATGGCTGACCTATGTTCTTTGTTCCTAGACGTACAACCTTACCTTTGGTTGTATTGATTCTCATATATTTTGATTGTGCTCAGTTTACCAAGTGTTCCAGATCACTCAGTGACCTGTTCTCTTATTATTTACTACTCTCCCAATCTTTGTGTCATCTACAAACTTTACTAGCAATGACTTTATGTTTTCTTCCAGGTCACTGATACAAAATGTTAAATAGCATAGGGCCAAGAACTGACCCCAGTAGGGCCTTGCTAGAAACACACCAGCTCGATGATTCCCTATTTACAATTATATTTTCAGACCTCTCAGTGAGGCAGTTTTTAATTGATCTAATATGTTCCATGTTGATTTTATATCATTGTAGTTTCCTAATCAAACTTTCATGTGGTATCAAGTAAATGTTTTACAGAAGTCTAACTATATTCCATTAAATTTAATGTGAATAAATGTAAAGTAATGCACATTGGAAAAAATAACCCCAACTATACATACAATATGATGAGGGCTAATTTAGCTACTACTAATCAGGAAAGAGAACTTGGAGTCATCGTTTATAGTTCTCTAAAGATGTCCACGCAGTGTGCAGCAGCAGTCAAAAAGGCAAACAGGATGTTAGGAATCATTAAAAAGGGGATAGAGAATAAGACAGAGAATATCTTATTGCCTTTATATAAATCCATGGTATGCCCACATCTTGAATACTGCGTACAGATGTGGTCTCCTCATCTCAAAAAAGATATACTGGCACTAGAAAAGGTTCAGAGAAGGGCAACTAAAATGATTAGGGGTTTGGAATGGGTCCCATATGAGAAGAGATTAAAGAGGCTAGGACTTTTCAGCTTGGGAACGAGGAGACTAAGGGTGGATATGATAGAGGTATATAAAATCATGAGTGGTGTGGAGAAAGTGAATAAAGAAAAGTTATTTGCTCCTATAATATAAGAACTACGGGCCACCAAATGAAATGAATGGGCAGCAGGTTTAAAACAAATAAAAGGAAGTTCTTCTTCA